CCTTTACTTCCAGGTCCCTTGTCCTATCCTGTTTCCTTCACTGTCTCTTTCCCCTTCATTTTTCTTTCCTTTTAGCCTACTATCATGCAGCGCCCCCCCTCCAGTATGGGTTTATCATCTCATTTGCTGTTATTGCATCTTTTACTCTGTTTGTGTGTTTTAATTTATCCTCAACCCTGTGTCTTGCTCATTTTGATTGTAAGCTGCTCGGGTGGGGACTGTGTGGTAGGCTGTTTGCACAGGGCCAGCACTTCGGAGTCCAATTCTTGGTTCACCCTTAGGCAGTACTATAATGCATAGCATTATAATGATGTCTTATTATTAAAAAAGTAAGGAGAAAGATAGTATAATGGTGATTTGGGTCATGAGGTAAATTGGGATTAAGTTTGTGATGGCCAGTGTTCTAACATCATATTGATTTGTTATTGCTTTGGGGATAAAGCTGTGATTTATTTTGTGGGCCTACTCTTTGCTGTATGTTTTGCAGAGCCAGCCTTAGGGAAAATGGCACCCTGGGGGAATTTGTATTTTGGCACTCCCGCCCCCCATACTCCCAAGTCAGTAGCACTGTTACAGGCACGAGCAGGAAGGCATGGGCATGGAATGCAGTCTGATGGGGAGGCAAAGCTGCTCACACTACTTGGCTCAGCTCCTCCAAAGCAGTGGCTGGAGATGGGAGGAGGGGGCTGTGAGAGGAGGAGGGGGGCAGTCTGGGCTCCTCCTGCTTGGTGCAGGGATCGGTCAGGGCAGGGCAGGGGGAGTGTACTACTGCGTGTGTGTATATGTGTGTGTCCCTCCTACCCCCACCCCCGAGCCCTGGGTGGTTACCCATGCTGCTCACCCCTAAGGCCAGCTCTGATGCTTTACGTTTGATATCACAGGTTATTTTACTTTATCAATTGTCTATTTTGTAAATGGCAATGGGTAGAGATATTCATCTAGAAATACGGAGCTGCGTAACTGAGCATCACGTTTAATGCTGTGGGACTTTCTTGCTGGAGCAGAAGAGGAGAAAAATACTGCAGTGTCACTAGATGGGATTCATCGCAACTTTCCACTCCAACGCTCTGACAATAGGCTGCCTGTTAGAAAAATGGAGCTCAGGTGTCCTTCCTGTCATTTGTGGAAATCAAGGGATTTTGAAAAATGTCACCATTTCTCTGCAGCCACTGGAAGAGGAGTATAGCTATGGATAGAAGCCTAACCTATAGGTAAGGGGGGAAAATCAGGTTTGTTAGCATCCTTGTCTTCAATGCAGTGCTCTGGAGTTTCTGCTGCAAAGGTCCCCGAATAAACAATGTGTTTAAATGCTAGGCATTCCTACTGATGATTTTTTTTCTTCTTCTTATAGTCTGAATTTTCAAGCTGAGGATGAGAGCCATGAGATTCATTAGTTTCCAAGCTGTGCCTCAGTAAATAAAATAGTTATGGACTGTACCTTCCCATGCTGGCAGATTACATCACATGCCTTCTTATATTTCATCTCTCTCTTCTGTGTACTTGTTGCAGAGCTGAATTTGCTATGACTCACAGGCAGGGACTAAGGGACCTACTGTAGTGGGTTTGTAAAAATGTTGCTGTTTAGGCAGCTGATGCCACATTGATCCTGGCTCAGAATCCCGACTTTTTGTTGGTGTGAAATTAGAACTTTAAAAATAATTTGAAGGTGAGTTTTAGGAATCTGCGAGACTGAGCTGTAGCATGACAAGTAACTGTGGACTAGGAGAGGGGGAACAAAACCAAGTGAAAATATCCTTTTTGTCACTGAAGAGGACAACTACCTTATAAATATATCTATTGTACCCTGTACTTCTCGCCCAAGCCTTTGAAAGCTGGGAGATTAAATTTGTTTTCCTGTGGAAGTTTGCCAAAAGGTAAAGGACAAAAATTGTGCTTGCCTTTTTCTCTGGTGTTTCCAGTAGAAAAGAAGCCAGTGCAGCTGAACTGTCTTTTCATTCCCTGCGTGTACCAACATCCCCAATCATCTCAGTCGTGATGTGCATGGCTTTGGGAATAATATTTAACTGAAGCAGTCAGGGGAGCACATGTGTTGTTTTGGGAGAACAGTCTCTTTTTTTTCCTTAATTTTTTCAAAACGCTGTAACTCAAGTTACTTACAGTAAGCATTTTTTTTAAGAAGTTAAAATAAAACCTAGTAGAGATTTGTTGCTAATTATAGCCTCTGATCCAAAAATGCTTAAACAATACATGCAAAATTTCATACATGTGAATAATCACAATGATGTCTATATCTGTTCTGATAGCCTCCATAATACTGTCAGATTATGCAGCTGAAATCAGGGATCACTGGTTTGTAAAGTCACCCACTGTGGGTAAACATTTCAGATTCAGAACCTAAACCAAATGTTACAATGTATCATATTTGAGACTTGAACTAAGGCAGGCAATAAAACTCCTCACCAAACCAGCCCTTAGAAGAGTCAGGTTCAGAACCTTTGTCTTCATTCCTGATTGAAAAACAGCTGGAAAAACGGTGTTGCTCTGTAAACAAGCAATAAGAGTAATAACATGCGTGGCTTTGACAAGGACTTCCTGTGCAACCACAAGCGAGCTAATTAACCTTTCTCATTGTGTTTCTTCATTTTGCAAAATGGACACAATAATAAATGCCCTCTTTTGCAGGGCTGTTTTGAGGCTATGCTCAATTTTTGCAAAGTACTTTCTCAGACCCAGGGATGGAAGGTGAAAAAAAGTGAACAGCGTTTTTTGTATTAGCACATTACTTGATTTATTTTTTATTGAGGGACATTATGCACCTAATTAAGAACAAAATCTCAGCAAGGGGTACAAATTAGAGCTCAGTTGTGGCAGCTACTATAGTTCAGGAGAACTCGCACTAAAGTAGCTAGTGAAAGGCTAGTTCAGCTATATCTCTACACAACCTGGAGTCACAGCAGTGACTGCAGCTGGAGACGTATTCTCCTGAGAAGCACAATCCTGCCTAGAACACAGAGTTCAACATGAGGGATATAAAAACTGGATCATCCCTGAGAGGAATGCAGTGTGCTGACTGCTATATAGGTGGGGTGAATCTAGGGTGCTGGTCTTGGGGGTGGTTCTTATATGGATTGGATGGAGAAGGAGGTGACTGCCCTGGCACCAGGCACTTAGAGACCTGAAGGAAAAGAGACTTCTTGTGATTTCCTGCCCATCCCAAGCACCTGTGCAGCAGCCAGACAAAACCTGACCATCAGCCCCTAACTTTCATTGCTAGAGACCTGAACCTGGCCGAGGTCCCAAGTGAGATCATTATTATTTATATAGTTTGATCAGCATGGTTTACATCAGGGGTGGGCAGTTATTTGGGCCACATGGGGAGTTTGGATGAGCTGTTGTGGGCTGGGTCAGGACCACCCCCCTCAGCAACTCACCAAAACTCCCTATGGGGCTACAGGTGGACTTGGAGCAATGTTCAGGAGTGGGAGGGGTGGGCAAGGCTGGGATTATGGGGCTGGGTTGCTGGGTGATGACAGCTTAGGTTTCTGGGGGGGATGTGGGTGTGTGTGGGGGGGGGTGCCTGGGAGCTAGGTCCTGGGGACCTGTCATGGGTGAGGGGAGGGAGGGGAAACAGGTGGTGCATGCAACAAAACTTGCCCCAGTGGTGTGGTCTGCATTGCCCCTGTGGCACTCAGCATGGGGCTGAGCCCCACCCACTTGCAATGGGGCAGGCCACCCCACTGGTGCCTGTGGCCCAGCCCAGCCAGACACTGTTCTGCTCCCCCCCACCTCTATCTCCTGCTCTTTTCCTTGCTGTGCTGTGCTGTGCTGCTCTGGGCAGGCAGCTTCAGCCGGGTGGCTTTGCCCCAGCATGTGGGGCTGTGATTGCAACTTCACCAGAAGGCAGCCGGGAGCTGGAGTCAGAGCTTTGTGCACTGGAGTTGGAGCCTCACATGCTGGGGCAGGAGCCAGCCGACTGAAGCCACCTGGTGTGGCACAGCACAGCATGGTGCGGCAAGGACAAGATCAGGAGCAGGAGCTGTCACTAGAGGTGGGGGGAGCAGAGCAGCACCTGGCTGCCTCTGCACCAGAAGCTGCATGTGCTGGTTGGGGCCAGGCTGTGGGTGCTGGTGGGAGTGTGGAGTGGGCTGCCTATGGGCTGTATGTTGTTCATGTATGTCTACATGAACTGTGTCAAATCAAAGAGGGATATTTACAGGATGCAGTTCAAATGAGTTTAGTTGCTTTGCTAGTCTCCAGAGAGAATTTGTCCATACCAGAACATCGTTCTGCCATGAACAACTGCCTCCAGTGCAACACCAGAAAGAGAGGCTGACACAGGATTTAAATACTTTGGCTCAGTTGAATATGGAAACTTGCCTCCTAGTGCCACCAATATACAAATGATATCTATTGCTATCAAATTTCCCACAATTTGTACAAATACCTGCTGCATGTAGAAAGAGTGCTGGCCACAAAGCACAAGGCAGGATGCACTTTCTACCATTTTCATCCTCTTGAGCTTGCACTTCCATCTGACAAATACAGAAGGTGTTTGTACTCTACACCATGGGCATGCTCACTCTGAAAGACTTTGCTCTCCCTTGAAAGGATAAATAACAGGACTGGCACAGAGCAAGGCTTGATTAGTATTGAGTGTAAGTTTTTTTTTTTCTTGACAAGTCTTTGGCACATCTTTGATTACTCACCTCTTTGCTCTGCCAAGTCCTTGCAAGACGTACTGAATGTCCAGTGCCAAACAATCTCTTTAAATATTAATCAGTAGAAGAGTGCATGAATTCTACAGCTGAAAAATCGTGCTTAGGTATTATTTGATCTAAAATAAAAGGACTATGTGCCATGTTTGATTTTGGCACATTGTTTTTCCCCATAAACCAGTTAACTATGGAGATTCAGACTGTGGCTGGCCATTGTTTTTGTGTATATGTGTGGAAATGGGACTCTTGCTTCTTTCATAAGCTCCCATTCCAGGGAGAGTTTCATTTTGAGGGTTTTTTTTTTTTTGTTGGCTTGACTATCAGGGTTGTGCAGAAGTAGCAGTGCTTGCAGTACCAAAGAGGATGGAAAGGAGGTGGGCCTTTTCCTCCTTCTCACTGACCAGCCAAGCTGACTCAGCAGGCACTGGAGAAGACATCAAGAGTCCTCTGAAGAGATGTAGCAGCCGATGATTCTTTGCTCCCCACAACTTCCACCCAAGCCCCTGCCTTATCTTCAAAACAAGTGTGTGTCCTAGTAAGCTCAATAAAGTTCTTATATCTCAATTAAGCTCAATAAAGTGTTGCTTTTTACATTGTGTAGGAGAAAACAGTGTGCATGAAAGGGGTTTCCCGCATGGTGTGTATGTATTTTACTATTTAAGGAAAATTCATGTTCTGATCCTGGAAGGTGTTAGTTGCCTTCTATTCCTGTTTCACAGACTTGAATGAAATTACCCTGTATAGTACTGAAAAAACAAAAGCAGAACAAACAGAAACCCCTTCTTTTCTGTACCAAAATAAGGAAATATATAATTCTACATGTATCAACATGCAAAGAAAGAAAGTAATTTTACATGGTCACATCCCAGGAAAGAAAACTGAAGAGAGAGACCTTGAATCAGGCCTGATATTCACTTCCATTGTAAAATGTATGTAAGATATTCTGAAGTTTTTTGTTCAAGGAGCCCTGTTCTAGCATGGACTTTGGAATTTAAATGCCTAAGCAGACTAAGCACCTTTGTAAATCCTGTTAGGCACTTGTCTTTCTCCTTAGGCATGTGCCTACCTTTTGCAAATTTAGCCCTCTGACCTGCTGAGGCAAACCATCTCCCAGTTGTCTTCCTCACCAAGTAACCTCTCCAGCAATATGTACTATGAGCTCTGCATTCCTAGCATGGTCTATTCCTGTGTCCTGAAAACTGAAATTCGACTATTTATAACGGGAGTCTCCAAAATACTTTTTATATAAATAGTTCAGTGAATACTTTTTTATAGTGTAAAGTAACTTTAAGTACTAATGATATTAGTGAATTTCACCTATAACATAGAGAATGCGTGTTGTGCACACCACTGAAAAATGACTTTGCCACTGGGGAATAGTAAGCAAGGTTATAGGTTGCTCATGCATAATAAATAGTTTAGTTGGAGCTACGTGGTAAAACATTGCATGATGGATTGAAAATGTAGGGGCTAATTAGAGCACAAACTAAAGAATAGCTATCCCTTCCCTAGCTAAACATAACTTGTATAAACAAGAATATTAATTATCTGGGTTACGTAAATTCTAGCTATCCAAGCTGCTGAAAGCTCACTGTAATTTGAGACCTCACCCAGATCTCCCTTGGGTACCACTGTAATACGTATATATACACAATAGGGCAAGAAGGTTATTGTGGGAACCTGAATTCTCCTTTCCTGTCCTTTGTGTTTGACTGCAATCTTCTTCTAACTAATACATTTTTGGATAAAACTGTGTTTGAAAAATAAACACCAAAAAGAAAAGGAGAAAAAATTAAATGAAATACAAGTACCAAACAAGACTGGGTAAATCTTAAAAGGCACCACTAGTACAAAGATTTTCTTATCAGAGTGGTCATTTATGATCATCTTTGTTCAGTTGCTCTTGAACACTTCATTTTGCTGCATGTGGAACACAGAACTTGATTAGTGGCTAAAGGTAATGTTAAGAATAAATACATATAGTTAATATTAACTACTATATGTTCAACAAGGAGGAAATAGAACAACACCTGCTGTGCATAAAGCATAAGAAAGCAAATTAATTTCAAGGGCGAGTCAAAACTTGGCCTGCGTGAAATGTGCTAACTGCCCGTAGATGGCCTTACTCTGACTTTATAGCAATCTAGTGGTGATGTGCCTCTGTTGATCTCAGTTATGTTAGGTATAATTCACAGAACAGATTGAAGCCTCCAAGGAGCAAACCTCCAGGGCCCAAAGTGGAACTTTTACTTTCTCTCTCAGGTAATTAGTTTCACAGAAGTTTATCATGCTAGTTACATGAGTCAGGATTAGTTAGACCACTTTCCTCCCAGGGTCCAGAGCAAAAAGCGAATGCTGGGCCTTGCCGTGGGACTGAAACCAAAGTGAAACCAGCTTTCTTGATTTTCATTGTCCAAGATGAAATAAATGAAAAAAAATTTTAGAAATATTATTCAAAATATGTATGTACTTTTTTTTCAGTAGCATCTGACTATAAATGAAGATGGCTCTATAATACAAATTTTATAACATATATTATTTTTATTGTAATACAATATAATATCATATTAAAACTGCCAGTCTGTGTTATGTGTTCTGGAGCAAATGGATTATTGGTTTCCATGTCCCTTTCAGATGGTCCAAATTCTATATTTGTAGTGCTGAGACTCGCTGTATTATAAGCTTTACGCTGATCAGTTTGAGCCATAACCTCTTGTGAAATGATACTGAGAGAGAATTTCTGCTAATTTAGGTTTAATGAAGAATTTCCTATCTTCTAGGTATATAAGCAAGAGCCTTTTGCTCTGGGGATCTGTACTGAGAGGCATCATTTACTGTGGCCTTTTGCCTGGGAGCACTGAGAGCTCAGGACAGAAAAGATCTTGCAGAAACTCACAGTGAGACACTTCAGTCCATATTTAATGTGCATCTATAAATGACTGGCCTGATTTGCAATCACGAAGCCATAGCTCCCACTGCTGTACTCAACATTTCTGAAAAGAAGGCAAGTTATTTAGGTGCCTCTATTGATATAGGTACTGTGTGCAGCCAGCCCTCAAGTTTAAACATTTGGGGTTGTGGAGTACTATCGGTTACACAAGGAACACTTGTCATATTGAGGGGAAAGAACAATTCTAAGAGTATCACTTTGAATATTTTTCTCTCCCTCTTCTCTGGGTGCACAGGTAATTCTGAGTCCCTTTTAAAAAGTTCTGCTTGTTCTCTGTGTGCCCTTGCTTCCAGCCTATCTTAGGACATGATAGCAATTTCCATCCTGTCCTTTTCAACATCACTATCAGGCACTCTTTAACCTCTGAACTATAAGTTCTGCATCTTCTTGCCATGGGAAATGTCTATTCTTGCATCTGGAGCAATTTCAGTTCGTTTTGGCAAGACAAATGCTAACTGTGCTGCTGGGTAAGGAATAAGGAATCCCATGCCTTTATCTTTTGATAGTGTCTGAAGCCTGCCGATGTGTCTTTTGAACTTGCTTTGTATCTGGGGAGTGATTTTGATTAAAATGTACTTTTTGCGAGTGGCATATCTGACCTTTTTACTTATGGTCTCAGAATCAAATTGCAGTTCCTGTGGATGACATAGAAAAACATGTTGTTTTCAGGAACCAGGCCTTGTTTACCTGTTGGACAAGTATGTAATTGTCCTTTTCATTCTATTTTTGACTAAACACAAGGAGAGGAATTCTGATATAGTTTTCTTTATTTTTATTCTTCAGGTACCTTCGAATTGAGGTATTTTTAATTCACTTATGTGTGCACTTATGTGTTCACTTATGTGAAGAACTATGTGTGCTATTGAAGTGGAAGCATCTAAATCAGGGGCGGGCAATTATTTTGGGCAGAGGGCCGCTGTCAAGGGCCACATGGGTAGCGCCACCCCTTGACAGGTGCCCCAGCCCCTGGTCACCATCTTGGGACCAATGTCCCAGGGCCAGCACCGGTGGGGCTCAAAGCGGGACACAGGCTGGCAGGGGTCTGTGGAGACAGGCTGGGCTGTACCAGCAGGGAGAGTGGGGGAGCTGGCCTGGCTCCATAGAGCCTCTGCCGGCTGGGACCCCACGCTTCTGCCACCCTGTTCTGGGCCCTGCCGGCACTGTCTGCCCCCCTGTTCTGGGCCCTGCCGGCACTGGCCCTGGGACACTGGTGCGGGCCCCATGCTCCCACTGGCTCCCCGCCCACTCACTCCCAGTGCCCCCCAGCCCTGTGGTACAAGCGCGGGGAAAAGCGGCCCCTCGCCCGCCCTGTGGCCGGCACTCCCTGCTGTAGGTGCTCACAGCCCATGCGGGTCTGTCTGAAGCAGGCACAGGCAGCCCCATGTGGGCTGTGAGTGGCTACAGTGTGGGGTGCTGGCTGCAGGGTGAGCGAGGGGTTGCTTTTCCCCACGCTCAGCACCAGCTTGTAACCTGGCCCCACTGCAAGCCTGGGTCCTGCGCCAGCTCCAGGCTCACCCGTTGGGGCTGTGAGCAGTGGCAACAGCTGCGCCCCTTCTGCATGCCATGCCGGGCAGTATTGGCTGCTTCTGCCCGCCCAGAGCTCATGTGCTGGGCAGCCCACAGGCGGCAGTGACAAACACTGCCCGGTGCAGCAAGCAGGGGGGCCGCAGCTGCTGTTGCCGCGTGCAGCCCCAACAGGCGAGCCTGGAGCTATGTGGGGCCCAGGCTGGCAGTGGGGCCAGGTTACAAGGTGGTGCTGAGCACGGGGGGGGGAAGCTCCCCCTTCCCGCCCCATGCCCGGGGCCCCATGCCCTGTGCAGGCTGTGAGTGGCTGCAGCAGGGAGCACTGGCCACGGGGCAGGGGAGGGGCTGCTTTCCTCCATGCCTGGAAGTGGCAGGGAAGGAGCCCAGGGAAAAGCTGAGCATGGGGAATGGGGGAAGTGGCCCCTCCCCCTCTCCATGGTTGGCACTCCCTGATGCAGCTGCTTGCAGCCCGTGGGACTGTCTGGAGCAGGCATAGGCAGCCCCAGGCGGGTTGCAAGAGGCTGCAGCATGGGGTGCCAGCCATGGGGTGGGCAGGGGCTGCTTTTCCCACCCCCACCATGCTCAGCTTTTTCCCAGGCCACTTTTCCTTGGGCTCCTTCCCTACCCGGGGTCCTCCTCTGCCCTCCCCCCCCCGGGGGCTTCCGGCTGGGGGGGTGGGGCTGGGTGGGCTGTTGTGGGAGCCTGCTGGGCTTCCCCTGGGTCCTACTCTCCTTGGTTCCTGTCATTTTTGACAGGAACCAAGGGCAGATAAATATTAATTTTCTAAAATTTTTAGGGGCCCCGTGGGCCAGATAGAATGGCCTTGTGGGCTGGATCTGGCCCGTGGGCCATATTTAGCCCACCCCTGAAAATGCTGAAAGCCTAGTTATGGTTGCAACCTAGTAAAATTATGCTAAAATAGAAGTCCAAAGCACTGCCTGTTAGCAGTTGTGGGTTTTGTTCATAAACAAGCAATGTATCTTTTTGCATGTGTGTGACCATGTTCATTGAAATCTTTGAGTGAAAGTGCGTGTTTTTGCACATCCCGTGCTCT